GCCCCCCCCTCTCTTGGAGGCCCCCCCCCAGACAGTGGGTGGGGAGCAATTTTGGGGTTCATCCCCCACCATCATGGAGAGGAAGAGCTCCGGGATGATGCCAACAGGGACTGGGGTCTGACAGCCGCATCCTGCCCCTCCACATGCCCTCAGCCCCCCCCAACCTTGCACCCCCCAGGTGTGGGCTTCGCCACGCGGCAGATGGCCAGCCTCACCAAACCCACCACCATCATCACGGTGGAGGGCGACAAGATCACGGTGAAGACCCAAAGCACCTTCAAGAACACGGAGATCAGCTTCAAGCTGGGCGAGGAGTTTGACGAGACCACGGCAGATGACAGGCACGTCAAGGTGAGCCCCCAGCGCTGCCCCCCCCCAGCACCAGACCCCCGAGAAACGGTCTGTGGGTTCTGCCGGGTCCAGCCATCAGCTCTCGGCTCTGGGGCTCCATCCTTTTGCCTGTGGTAAAAAACTGCCCACCGGGGTTGGTGCTCAAGCCTGGTCTCACTCAGACACCCCCGCCCCCCTCCTCACCCCATTTTGCAGTGGGGTTTTCCCCCAGGGCGCAGCAAGGGCCGGGGCTGACAGGAAGGTTGTGCAAGAGCTGGGCTTGCAAACGCCAGCTGCCCGCCTGGGGTCTTGCTCAAGAGGAGGCGAGGGGAGGTGGTGGGACATAAATATTTCATGCACGCAGCAGCTGGCAGCCCTGTGCCCCCCACCCAGCCCGGGGCACCTCAGGGGGGTCCTTGGGGCTTGTTGGACACAAAATCCCTTCCCAACCCCAAAGCAGCAAGAGCAAGGGCTGGGCATAGAGCAAGGACAGGCTGAAAAGGGCCGAGTTCGAGCAAGGCGGCAGCGCTGGGCAGATGCAGCATGTCCCTGCCCGCAGCGCTGCCGCCACTCGCACCCAGCAGAGCTGGTGGAAACTGTCCCAAGCAGCGGAGACGTGTGACCTGCCGTGAGCTCCTGCCTGCAGCCCGGGGACATGCCCTTTGAGTGCCCCTCGGCCAGTGGCCAGAGGGCACATGACAGGGCAGTGGGGGCCAGGAGGGCTCCCTGAGCTGCCCAGGATGGGGCAGGTGGGGTACGCCACGGTGTGGGATGCACTGATTCGTGGGTGGGGCACCCAGCCTGTGGGGCACCCGAGCTGCAGGGATACTCTGGCTGTGGGGCACCCAAGCCATGTGGGGGGACCCAAGCTCTTGGAGCACCTGAGCAGTGGGGACAACCCAGCTATAGGGAGACCAGAGCTCTGGGGGGGGGACCCTGAGCCATGGGGGGCACCCAAGCCTTGTGGGGACCTGGGCTGTGGCAGCAGCCTGCTCTCGGAGCTGGGTGGGGGGCACAGGGCAGGATGGGGCCGGGCAGCCAGTGCTGCTGCCTGTCCCAGCACACCCCCCCTGCCTGGCGCTGCCCAGGGGCCGTGCCCAGCCGGCTCCCACGCTAACCCTGGCACCGCCGGGCTCTCTGGGCTGAGTCAACACCAGCGGCTGCACAAACAGCGGCGTGTTTGCTGGATCAGCCCCTCCAAAAACCCTTCCCGGGCCCTCCGGCGCAGAGGGAGGCTTTGGCTCAAAGCAGCGATACCTGCCCCACCCCTGCAATCCCCTCCGGCACCCCGAGCCAGCCGGCCGTGCTGAGGAGCGGCTGAGCTCAGGTCCTGGCAGCCCCGGAGCAGGATGTGTCCCTGGGCAGAGCTCCCTGTGCTGGCCCCGTGTCAGGGAGAGCAGGGTCACCGTGACAGCACCCACAGCAGGGTTGGTGGGGGGAGCCCAGGCTGGGAGCCAGAGCAGGATCCGACCTGTGCTGAACGGGGTACCCAGAGCCTGGCCCTCTGCCCCGCGGGGCTCCAGGGTGAGCACAAGGACAGTCAGCATTGTCCCCTCCGAGGGACAAAGCTCCCCCAGAGCCAAGAAACCCCAGGGAGGAGGCTAACAGCAGGTCTTGCTCTCCCCACAGTCCTTGGTCAAGCTAGATGGAGGCAAACTCATCCATGTGCAGAAGTGGGAAGGGAAGGAGACATCGCTTGTCCGGGAGCTGAAGGATGGGAAATTAATTCTGGTAAGGAAAGAGAAATGGCTTTAAGTGGGGTGGGGGTCAGCCCAGGACAGGGCAAGCCGGGAGCTGCACTGGCTCAGCACAGCTAACAACTCCCCCCCCCCCCCCCCC